ATTAATAATAATTTTTTATAATCGATTTCTCATTATTCTTTTAGGGAACTGTGTTATTGTTTTAGTTCTTTTTTCTTTTTTGAATTATCATATTCATATTTTCCTGTTGAGATATTTCAATTCTAATAAATGGATAAAAAGACAATATATATACACGAAGTAAAAAATAACAAAATAAAAAATATGAGATAAAAGAAACACTTGAAATTGTGAATAATAGAATCTCACTCGAGAAAATTGATGACTTGATTCTAAAATATATTTTTGTTGCTTCAATAATTTCTCACAATGCTTGGAAGTGAGGAAACAAAAAAGAATGTGCAATATATTTTCTGACTAAGATTTTTGACAAAATAATACTATAATTTTTCATATTTGAATAAAGAAATGCAAGAAGAGATTATTGAAGAGTATAAATGTTATGTGAGAGATTAACTCTCGCAGAAATCAAGAAAGAAAGCGGGAAAAATGCATAAGTACCTTCCTGACCTATACCCAGATTCTCAATTACAGACTCTATATTTGCGGAGTTTTTATTATCCCCGAAATTATTTGAAAGTAGAATTATTTACACCCTTAAAGCTAACGTGACAGAGTGTGTGTATTTCACTTTTCTTGGGGGAGTGAGAAGCAAGATAAAATGATTTTCAGAATTTTCTTTTTGCTTTTTACCATTTTTCTTACCTTTTTTTCCTTTTCCTTTTTCTTTGTCTTTTTATTTTTCTTCTTTTTTCGTTACTTCTCTAATTCCGGCGGATATTCATTCTCCGGCTACTTTGTCTAACCGTTTTTCGTCCTCTGTTTTTTTTTCTCTTTCTATCCTTTTCACACACAAATTAAACTCTCAAAAAGATCTATTTATAAGGAAATCAAAATACACTTAGATTTGGGGGAACAAATTCATCATTGAAAAACCTTCCCATGCCGGAAAAAGTTGAGGTATTGAAATTTTAACTGAAAAAAGTTTTCTCAGCTTATATTCATTTTTCTTTCTTTTGCTCTTCCTCCCACACATAAA